TTTTTTTTTTTTTTAAGAAATACCCAAGAGGGTGGGGGGTTAGGCCGGTCCACCAACCTGTTTATATAAAAAGGCCCTAAATGGCCAAGAATTCACAATCTACAAGTACAATGTCTGGAATACCCCAAGTCAAACGAAAAGCAAAAACCAAAAATGAAAAATAAAACAAGAAAAGGATGGCAACGGCTGCCCGTAATACAAAAATAACGTCTCCTGGAATGGTCCAGGCAAAATATCAGAGTCACGAGACAGTGGAAGAGCGGATGCACCAAGGTAGGGCCGGCTACACAAATCTGAATGAATGGTATCTCATCTGGTCCATCCGTATAAGGGTACGGAGGCGGAGAAGAATATCGTCAGGATAAAGTATGCGCCTCTGGGGGATGAAGGACCCGATGCCTGCGAGGAAGTCAGCAGGACGGTTCCCCTCACGGAAGATGTGCGAGATCAGAAACTGAATGGACCGAAGAGTGGCCTTAATACGCATGAGCAGATGCTGAATCTACCATGTGCCCTGATGACCAGGGGTCAAGAGACTGATAACAGTAGCAGCGTCCAACTCTATCCAAATGTGAGAGGAGATCGATGCAGCAATATGAAGACCTATCTGAAGCGCCTGAATCTCCGCGTCGCAGTTCAAGGAGACCCGAAAAGGAGCATGGAAAGCGGTAATAAGAGCACCGCTACGGTCCCTAATCAGACCCCCACCTCCGGCGTCTCTGGTATGTCGGTCAAAGGATCCGTTAGTGTTTAGCTTAACCCAATGATGCTCGAGTCTCAACCAAACAACAGCTCTGGGGCGTGGGAGCTGGACAGACGGCTGTGGGGGCGGTGCAAAATGATGAGGTGGCGTGCAGCCTGTCCAGTCTCTCGGCGGGAGTCTGCTCAGAGCGGTGATGAGAGATAGATATCTGTCAACCTACAAAATAATATGTGAACACACAAATGTAATATCCTTATACTTCGCATTATTCCTTTCTGTCCAGGTGGACCAAAGGATCATACAAGGAATAAGGAAGCCCACGTGTCTACTGTGTATGCTCTGTTTGAAAAAACTCAGAAGCTCAAAGAAGTTATCTATGGTGGGTAAGGGTATATGGGTGTAATTGGAATAATACTCTCACTCTTTTCACAGTCTCACTCTCAATAAACAAATGGATGAAGATCTCCGTCCGAAAACCGCCGGTCTCAGCACAACAGTAACAACGTGAGAGTAATGAAAACCCCCTCACCTGCATCACAGTGCCGATCGGTAGGCAGCGCAGAAGAAGGCGCCATAGAAAGACAGAGATTGTCGGGGTCAGAAGGTCGGTCTAGATGGCCCGGAAGAGAAGGTTAGGCTAGTGATGAGGATAGTTTAATTATTATTATTATTATTATTATTATTATTATTATTATTATTATTATTATTATTATTATTATTATTATTATTATTATTATTAGTTAGCTTGGAGAATAAGTTAGGTTTTAGTTTAGGAGTCTTATTTAAAGGGCACCTGTGCTTTGTTATTAGGGGGAGTTGATTTTGAATAAAAATATGAATTGATTGTGAGTTTTATCGAGAGAGTCTCGTTTTGCGTGTTTTACGAGAGAGTATCTCGTTTACTCGTTTTATCCTTCCCACTCGTACGCTTCCCTACATCAGTTGGTATCAGCAGTCAGCACGATCGCGTACCGCCGGGACGACAAGATACCGCAAACAAACAACGTGATGCAACCTTCAACGATCGGTTTCAGCAGATTGACTATCGATTTCATGAGTTGGACGTGCGTTTCACGGATTTGTTTGCCGATCTTTCGACGGGGATCGAGGATTTGCATTTGACGCTTAACAACGTGGTTGTTTCGGAATTGCAAACGAACCGCGATGGGGCTGTGGGCCGTGGCTTTCGCGGGGGGAGACAAAGGCGGTTGTGGGGAACGCAGCCATGTCGGGGTGCCCCGACAGCGGTCCCGGCCACCTCTGAACGGCTTCGTGGACGGCGACGATCAACGCAGCGACATGGGCTGGCGCGAGGAGGCAGCCTTCGCTGGCGGATATCGTGCCCGACGCGATTGGGGACTTGATCACGAATATAGTCAATTGGAGGGCCCGTTTCGCGTGGTCATTCCCGATTTGGATAGAGAACAACATGACGGGCCATTGTACGACGGTCCTCCGATTTTCGATGAGGAGCCTCCGAGGCCAGAGGATAAAGCTGGAATTATTGCTATTAATATCGTTGAACTTGATGCGATTCTTGGTGGCCGCATTGTGTAGTATAGAGAATTACATGGGCACGAGTCTGACAAAGTTTTGTCATATTTTAATCCATATTTCATACCCCTTGAAGGTGGTGTTGATTTTTTTAGTTTTATGATGCCCGGGGGTGTTTGGGTTGGAAGTAAGAGTCCTATATTGTGTGGGTCGGCTAGAGTGGACGTTGGAAGACATTCAACTTTCGTGATCGATAGGGAAAAACGTCAGACGATGATTGCCATGGGTATGACTCCGGTGTCAGTGCGTTTAGTGTGGCTTCGAGGGCGAAGCCTTCCGAACCGGAGGAGACTGATGAGGATAGTTTAATTATTATTATTATTATTATTATTATTATTATTATTATTATTATTATTATTATTATTATTATTATTATTATTATTATTATTATTATTATTATTATTAGTTAGCTTGGAGAATAAGTTAGGTTTTAGTTTAGGAGTCTTATTTAAAGGGCACTTGTGCTTTGTTATTAGGGGGAGTTAATTATGAATAAAAGATGAATTGATATTGTGAGTTTTATCCAGAGAGTATCTCGTTCTACGTGTTTTACGAGAGAGTATCTCGTTTACTCGTTTATCTATCCCACTCGTACGCTTTCCCTACATCAGCTAGTCTCCCAACCGTACTTCCCCCCAAGTCGAGGTCGTAGGGAATGCACCCAAAGATGTAAGTCTCCACCTCATGTTGGGATATATGAGAATCTGGTTATGTACAAATCACGAATTCAATAGCAAACGTAAACATATGCGCAATAGAACTAAAGGTTTGACGTAGTAAACTTACGGCTTAAAATTTTTGGCGATCTGACTGATCTTTCGGATAACCGTACACAACACACGAACACGTCGGGATCACGAACGGATGAACTGGGTTGCGTGTTGGACTCACCGGGATAAACGCGACGTCGGGCCGGCTGTGTCTGCGGCGGTCGGCGGTCCTCAGGCTTGGCTCGTGGATCGTCGATTGCTGTAGAAGATTATCGTGTCTCGTACACCTATTGATCTTCTACTGTATGTCTAACACCTTCTTCAACTTGTATTGATGGAACAACAAGAAGAAAATAAAGCTCGAAAGAGAGAGAGAGAGAGAGAGAGAGAGAGAGAGAGAGAGAGAGAGAGAGAGAGAGAGAGAGAGAGAGAGAGAGAGAGAGAAAGAGAGAGAGAGAGAGAGAGAGAGAGAGGCGTGGGGCGTGTTTCACGAGATTGTGATCTTGTGTTCTCTTCCCATGAGCTTAATAATGTATATATAGACCTACAGTAGGGACCCTTAGGAGATTAGGATATTGGCACCTTAATTAATTAAAATACTTGTGGGTCAGCCCACTTATTATAATTAATTAAAATAATATTAAATGGGCCACCAACATAATATTATTGCACTCTCTTTTCCTAACGCAATTTACAATTGAGATTCCAATAATAATTACTCGATTTATCTCCCCATGTTTAAGATATAATGTCCATTAATTAATTCGATCACTGACAATCAAGAACTAATTAATTCATTATTTTTTCACCGAAGCTAGCGATCGTTCATCACATACTTATTATGCCGGAATTTAATCCACCTGCAGGGTTTAGCATAATAATCCTTCATGAACTCACTCCGGGGACATCATCAAACTAACGCACATGGTGACCGTAAATATCCTAACAACACATCATACATGTAGCAATATTACCCAAGACATGGGGTCTATTGGTGCAGTTCACTAAACCTCACCCATGTGAATCAAAGTAATAAGCACTACACATATATGCTTGTTTAATATCTTACGGGTTAAGAGTACGCAGTAATTAATCG